AGTAGTAGTAGTAGTAGTAGTAGTAGTAGTAGTAGTAGTAGTAGTAGGAGTAGTAGTAGCAGTAGTACTACTAGTAGTAGTAGTAGTAGGAGTAGTAGTAGTAGTAGAGATAAAGCACATTAAGGAGGCCTCCCAACAGCAGCTTGTAGTTTGCTGGACTACCAGGAACAATACACCAAGTTGCCTAGGGCCTAGGATTGAGGTAACCGAGGTGTATACTTTTCTCAGTGGCAGTATCATCAAGGTAGAACAGCATCTTTAGAATCGCTTTAACCAGAATCGCAGAACAAACAAGTATCTGGTGGACCTGCCTCCTAAAGAGACCTGACCTTTTTAAACACTGGAGTCTTCAACCCCCACTCCGCTTCGCACTCCCCCGCTTCGCGCTCCCCCGCTCCAGAGCCGCCGTGATGTCCACACCCAGGATGGCCAACGCCCTGGTGGCCTCTGGCCTCATCAGCGACTCGCCGGTAGACGTCCAGGGCGGAAGAAGCTACTAGTAGCAAGGCACCTTACTACTAGTAACAAGAAGCTACTAGTAGCTCCTGGCATTACTACTAGTAGCTAGAAGCTATTATATAAATCAATTGGGGAAGAGGAAGACAGGATGATGACGCCGTTCGGATGGATGCTGTCTGGTCTTGTCCCGGAAAACCGGGAGAGTCGGGATTCCGGCCAACCTAGAGCAAATTGGATGCCCGCACACATCGACAATATCATCTTGACAAAAACTGCATTTATTTCCTATCGGTAGAACCAGCAAACATGGCCAGGTGACAAGCAGTAATGCGCAAGGTGGGCAATCGCGTAACGATGTTCGAAGGCAGGGAACAAGTGGGTTTGCGTGGTCATTGGTTTAGAGCATCAACAATGACCCAATTTAAGTACACAGGACGCTACTAGTAGCAAAGGGCATCGCTACTAGGAACAAGGACGCTACTAGGGGCTCCTGGCCTTACAACTAGGAACAAGAAGCTACTAGGGGCTCTTGGCATCGCTACTAGGAGCAAGGACACTACTAGAGGCTCCTGGCCTTACTACTAGGAACAAGAAGCTACTAGCGGCTCCTGGCATCGCTACTAGGAGCAAGGACGCTACTAGGGGCT